AGATATAGGTAAAGGTCCATGTTAAGGTAAAATAAAACAGAAGCAGGAAATGTGCCACATGTACATAGCTGTAGATCAGGTTTGGGGAACCACCCATAACGATCTAGGCGATCCATATTGGCTAGCACAGAGTGATATACAATGACCTTCACTAAGTATTTTTCCACATACCCCTCTCCTGCTGTAAGACACCAGTCTTTTAAAAATACAGCAATTATCATAAAATACTAATAAAAGAGGTTTCTAACCAATAATTTAAAATAGAAATACACTTCTAGTGTTTAATAAATAGGAAAACCTACTTTTATATTGGGACATTTTAAAATCCTTTGCCCTTTATGACTAAATAAGGTGAAGTTAGAAATCCTTTGTTATATCTATAACAAGAATTGTGCAACTCATCTGTTTAGTGTTAAACCACCCTTAAAAGGCAGACTAACATGAAGTACAGAACTAAATCAGGTCTGAATAACAGAAATCATAATAAAAGGTATTCATATATGAGAGCTTCTAAACAGACCCTCAAAACAGATTCTTTTTCTGCCCCCCCCCAGTAAAACCCAGGTCCAGCCAAAAACCTCCATTTCATTTTGGATAGAACCTGGAAGGTTTTATCGCAGTCTGTGCGCCTATTGGAAATGTTCTCTAATTTCTTGTCAGGACATATAGGAGTGACAATCTCTCCAAAGGAAACACAGAGCGACGAAGGGTTACAATGTTTGTTATGATGTTTTTATTGCTATCTATGCCTTCCTGTTCAGGTGGTGCCTCAATTTTGTATAGGGGCATCACATGCACAGAACGTGAGGAACAACTCCTCAATGGGGTCACAGACAGAAATAAAACACAACAGGCATTTCGGCTCCTCCAAACTCTTCCAAAAAAAATAAAAAATTGGCTGTGTGTGTGGTAATACAGGCATTGCATGGCAGACAGTCTCTCCACAGAGATAGGATACCACCAGCTTACCTTTGCCTAATTAGAAGGGAAATGTAGGAATAAACATATTTTTAATCCAATTTGACATTCTGATGGTTGGCCCTTGTATGTTTTGTGTGTATATATGGTCAGATTATCGCACATTTGCTTGAAAATTGGGCTGGTTGCCAGTTTTGGTCTAGTTGAAGTCTCTTGAGTGTACCTGTACGGTAGTCAGGATAAACTTTTTAACCCAAGCGTGCATGCAGATTTACAGGGTTATTCACAAAAGGGTGAAGGGTTTGGAGAAGGTAGGAGAAGAGAACAATCCAGGACAACATAGCTGAACTGGAAACCGAGCTGAATTGGAGAATTTGTCCAAATCAGCAATGGTATCCTAAATTGTTCACTTCTCCTTCCTTCTCCAAACTCTTCACCCTTCTGTAAATAACCCTGTTAGTTTTCCTGTAGAACGGCCAAGAAGAAACCTGGGGCACTCTATTGAACTGCATAATAGATCCCCCTATGTTTTGGGATTCCAAAGGTGGGCGGCTGCCTGCTACACACTCAGAGACGGTTTGAAGGTTTGTCTTAGACACAGGTTTCCCTGAAGACAATATGAAAATATCATAATTCACCTTCTTATTCAAGATAAGCTCCTGCTGCCTTAAATCCTTCATCATTTGGGGTGATCAAATTATAATTATAGGGTTTCTTGCCCTACAACTCAGACTTTTATTGGTCAGCAGGAATTCACTGGAAATACTCACTCCACTTCCAAGTGGAAAGAGCACATACATCATTAAATATTATGGTTATTTAGAAAAGAGGGGGGAATGGAACCAGCAGTGCTGCCATTGTTAACCATAAGTTTTATTTTTTAGCCTGCACATAAGAAAAGACAGAACTGAACTTTACAGCTCAGCATGTCTCTCCTTCAGTTTCTATATGTGAATTCCAGTGACTGCAAGACAACACTGTAGCATTGGTGTCAAATCCTTTATGTTTTACTGTATATATAAAACCTCATTGTGTCAATGTTTGCCAGAAGGCACCTGTGAATAACTCAGATGGCGAGGGTCACAGTGAAACAAAAGGTGTGCCAAATTTTACTTTGAAGACTCCTTCTCCAACTTCTGTTGCATTAGCAAAACACAAAATTTGAGTTAGGATTCAGAACCCACATGAAACAGAGTACATTTGGTTTACTACAGTGTTCTACAATGGACTCAACCAGTTAAAGCCCAAAGCAGCCCATGTGACCATTAGCTATCCATCTAAAAAAGAAAAAGTGTATACAATTCAATAAATTAGTATCTCATTGACCTTTAAAAGAAAATTATTGGACTTGTTGGAACATGCCTAGAGTATACAATATTCGGTACCAAGAATTGCCTCTCACTCTCTCTGCTGTCATCCAACCACATTGACCGATTCCTAAAGAAAGTGCATTGAACTGTAGTTCAGCTTTGAAGCAGACCATTGAGATAGTAGTTTGTATGCTACCACATGAGCATAAACCTAGGACAGCACTGGTTTCAATGATGGGATTGCCTTTAGGAGGGAGTTAGACATAGTTATGCCAAACCCTTAATGTGTGGAAGGACTTCACGGATAGACGAAATGATTTCCATGAAGGGTAGCAAGGTGTGTACGCCACCAGCTTTGCAATTGTAGCATTACCAAGCACAGTGATACATTACAAACAATAACGGATTGGACCTTAAAAAGGAGTTTTGAGAATTAATTTTAACTAACAAATTTTGATTTGTCTCATGGACATTATAAAGCTCACTAGCACTATCTTCTTTATACTGCACATATATGACAAATGTAGATGTCACTACATCCATACAACCTATATGCATGGTAATCTTATATGGTGACAGCTGTATGTGAACACAGTGCTGGATCTTTAAGTATTTTAAAACACTTTACAGATACATAAATGTTTTATGAATATATAGATTCACAACACTTAAAAGAAACACCTCTAGATAGGCTGGGTGTTGTCGTGTTTCCAAAAACCATAAATTAGTGCTCCAAGGTATTGTAACTGACTAATATGCTCCAGCAAGTACAGGCTAAGACGCCTCCAGAAAATGGAAAATAGTTCGGCATCAAAAACTTATTTTCCATGCCTGGGTGGGCAGAAGCTGCCCATTTCAGCTCTAATGTACAAGAACCTGGTGAAAGTCAAAAGTACATTGATGTTAGAACTTTTGACCATAAAATGCTTAAATAACACATCTTTATGCCTCTATTTAACATAGACAATGGAATGCTTTTTTGTTTCCAGTTTCACCAATATATGCGTTTGCTACCTCAATAGTTTTTCTTTAAATAGTGTTTTGTTTTTGTCCTGTTAGGAGTACTGAACCCATGGCAAGTAGTACAGGACTATACAGTATAAAGAACTAAAGAATTCAACTTTTCTTTTACCTATAATACCAAAGTAACTTTAAAAGAGAATGCACCGTTTGTTTTCATTGACAGTCTTCAATGCATGGTGCTCAGTTCTCTCAGCAGAAGCAAAAGTGTAATAATTAGCATGGTCATTTCCAATTTTTGGTGTTGGGAGACATATTGCTACTGAAGAATGGAGGGGATCTTGTAGAAGGTTGCTCTGCTCACAGTTATCTCTGGCAATATGGGCCATACCATTATAAAAGTATGAATGTTAGAATTACTACAAATTCCGGAGGGCCTAGTTTACACAGGATTCAGCTTGAAAAATGCTAGTTTGAAGAGCCTTGTGTACAAGCATGCATTTACAAAGCTTTCAGCAAGCTTCAAACAGCTTTCTTAAAGCCCTTAAAGTGAACCTGAATTTTGCCAGTGCCTGGCAAACCAACAGATTTACTGAAACATATTAAAACCCAAAAACAAAGATTGAAGATAAGCAATTTACCAAACAATGCACTAGCAGCAGCATTTTGTTATCCTTTATTTTCACCTGATGATCCAGCCAGCAACAGATTTGCTGTTTTAGGGTGGCTCCTCTCTATACAGGAGCAACAGAGCCACCCTTGGACAGCAGCATGCTGGCCTGTAGGAGGGTGGTGTTAGATGCACTAGTCAATTTAGATGGATTTCACTAAAACTAAATCTGAACTCCAGCTAACACTTTCTAAGCAATCACAGTAACTGTTTATCTTCCCCTTTTGGAATAAAGGTTTTACATAATAAAAGTTGACCATTATCAGCACCCCTATCAGGGTTAACTGGTTTGCCTCAACCCTCTAACACTTCTGCTGGACAGGTTGGTCTGGTAAAGGAAGTTGACAAATAAAAGACTTACTGGCCGGATCACCAGGTGAAAATAAAAGGGGAAAAAAGTCTAAACAAAGAAAACAAATGCAACCATCACATCCCAAGGATTGGTAAGCTGCAATATATTAATTCTTGCTTTTGGGTGTACATATGCTTTAACTTTTCCCTTTCCCAGCACCACATACACTTTTCTTCAATCCCCTACCACTCAGGTACCAGGAGCTAAGAGTGAAGCCCTGCGTATTGTGGCTTGGAGAGGGGGACCCACCCCATGTGACAGCCCTGGGCCAAATCGGCAAGCAGGGAGGGAGTAGAGCGAGTCTTTAGGCATTCCTCATCGCTCCCAGTTGTCTGAAGGTATGTGCTACTGTGAACAAGGAAAGGTATGCAAGCATGTTGCTTTGTCCCATTTGGAAAAAGCACATGTTCACTTCATCTCCACTCTGGAAGTGTTGAACGCTCATATAAATAGAAGTGCTGCAGCCTGCTAAAAGTCGGTTGAAATCTTTATCTGTGTAAACTAGGCTTACCAGAGAACAATGTGCGCATGTTTACATATATTATTTGGTCATAGTTAAATACCTGAAAACTTACAATAAAAGTAAATTTATATCTGGAAAATATCAGGTATTAAAAATGATAAATGCAAATTAAAGTGGTTATTGTAATATGCCTCCCCGGTTGCACACATCTATACGAGTTAAAACACCTATGTTAAGCACATCAGTTCATGGCTGAACAAAAACTGATCTTCTCAGATGTACAACTGAAGCTGTACTTCCATGAAAATGGACCAATCTTGTACTTTTCAAGGAGAAGTTTTAAAATAACTTAAATAAGTTTCAACAAGCAGCACTGAGAAGCTTCTGGAAGTAGAAGAACTGGGGGAAAATGATAAAATTTGAACGTCAATTGCCTAGTGCTCCGTACGGTAATCTGCAGCATGTTGCAGTGGCTGACTCCTTTGTTATATTTGGAATTGGCTGTAGACCCGGAATGCATTCAAGTCCATAGCACCCAACAAACTGTTTTTTTTCCATAAAAGAATATTCATGAAATAGAAAGAAAAAGGGAGGTGATGTAAAAAAAAAAAAAAACCCCAGAGAGGATTCAAACATAAAACAGCCGGACCCTCGATGTACTGACAAGAAGATCAGCATCGTAGAACTTCGTTTCTATGATGACATTCCCACTGAAAATCAAGCCAAAAAGCAAAACAGCGTTAGATAAAGTAGTGGACTTAAGTACTATAAACGTTACACACAGAACTGAAACTTGACACACAAAAATGTGCATATTATTGCCTCTGATTCTAGCGTTGTGTGGGTGAAGCATGTTATTGCAGAAGCCAGTCTGTAAATATACTAGTATAAAAAGACAGCAGAGCTGTCGGCACCACTATGCCAGAAGCAGTGCCTACATATGTGCGAAGATTAATATGACTGATTATCTCTATCATATATATGAATTATACCATGATATCTATTAATATACCTTTATCTAAGGGCCCATTCACATTTCTGGGTATATTTTCAAGCAAGCACTGACACATGCAGTGGTCCATTGCCCAAAAAATGTAAATGAGCCCTCATCATGTTCACAGGTCAAAAAACAAACATGCCTCATTATTTCCCAGCGTACCACACATGCCTCATGGAGTAGGTGTTTTTGTTTACTCTGTATCTGCACAATTGAGGTGCCATTGAAAATAAATAGCTATATACTGCAATGCACATACAGTGCGTTGTTCCGTTACACAGTAACGCACATGATAATGTGTGAACAAAAGTGTAAATGTAGTCTAAAGCACAAGCCTTAATGTTTCGATTCAACCAGATAGTAAAAAGAACCCCAAAAAATTTTACCAATAGATTAACAGTATCTCAAGCAGTTACTGGTGTCATCTGCACAATCTGAAAGAATGAACCACTGGAGGGAATTTCTAAAAATGTGTATATAAAATATACCTTTACGTGCCTGTTTTCATAGTTTCTTAAACTGCATCAGGTTTAATCTGCTGTCCTATAACCATTACAAAAGGGATAGCGTTTCCCCTGTTTTGTACACTTTAACCAAACAATGCCACACCGTTTCATTTCTATTTTCCTTATTTTAACAACAGCCCTTTGTCTGCTACTGAATGGCGAGTCATTCAATAGGTTAAACCAAATACTCCACAATACCCCCTTACTTTACTTACGTTAAAACATTAGCGGGCATCATCTGAGACTCTGGCGCAGCTTCTATCATGGACTGCCATGTGTTTACAGAATTGGGCATCACAAAACCAAACTCAAAAGACCATTCTGCAGAACAAAGAATATACATTCAATTTAAAACAAACCATCTACAAAAGATAATAAACAGAAACGGTGGAACCTCCTTTGCTGTAAACATTCAGTGTTGAATCAAACAATCGCCAGGCCATACTTGGGGCAAATGAGCTAAAGATAGATCGATGCAAAATGAAAGAGCTCCATATTTCTTCCAAAATCTACAAAGTCAGCTTTAGAAGGACATGCTGGAAAAGTAATAATTGGCCTTCCCGTCTACTTGAAACTCTACCTGAGAAATTCTTGTTTACTACTTGGGTTAGCTTTTTTTAGTCTGATCTGTAAAATCCTTTTCTTGGAGTACAATCACAAAGCACTCAATTCTTGAACCAATGGGGTCATGCAGCTACCTTTAGATAATTGGACACTGGCAATCAGAGCTGTAAAAGGACAACCATGTATAACCCCTATAACAGTACAGCATTTGTAGTAGTATTTGCAAAGGGCTGAACATCCACATGGGACAATTTGGCAAAAGTGTGAACAGAGGGCCGGATTTGCAGCCTTGCAGATTTGGGAAACCAAATTTTGATTCTAGAATGCCCAAGAAGCACCTATGCTCTTAGTAGTGTGAGCCTTTAAAAGGAAGGAAGAACTTTACTCTTTAATTCACAGGCTGGAGTAATAATTTACCAAATCCACCTAGGTGATAGTGGAACAAACAGCTAGCTGTCTCATACGGGGATCCTCAGGAATGATAAAGAGGGAGTCAGAATTGTGGAAGCAGTAGCAGAGAGATACATATGAAAGAGCAGGATAGAAGGATAGTAGAACAATGTCCTGATTAAGGTGAAGGAAGAAATGAGAGCCCTAGGTCTTAACACTACCTTATCCTTGTGGATAACCAGAAAGGGCTCTTTTCAAGTGAAGGCTTCTAATTCAGAAGCACCTGGCAAAAGTGATGGCTACAAAGGAAGGCCACCATGCGAGAGATTAGGTGCGGGATATTGACTTCAGAAGCAAAGGGGCGACAGCATCCGAAAGGCCTCTGTGCTTCAGGACCTGGGCTTCAATAGCAAGGCCACGAAATCCACTGGGGGGAGAAGCAGGGTTGAACACGGATCTTTGAAACAGGAGGTCTGGATGATCCGCAAGTGGAGAGTCTGCCAGGAGTTTGACTACATCTGCATACCATAGTCTTCTGTGCCAGTTGGAAGCAATGAGGATCACTGTTATCATAATGAGAATAGCCCTCCGACTTTCTCCTGCTGAGGAGGTCTAGCAAGAGTTTCATATGAGGAGGCCTAGTTCGAGTTAAACTGATCTCATGGAGTCAACAAGGCTTCAACTGCAAAGGATTGGGGATAACTTGTCCAGTTTGTTGTTGAACCATGCCACCAAGAGGTCTACGTCTGGTGTAGAGCTGCAACAGTTAATCGATTTAGTCGATTAAAATATCGACGATTGAAAACGTTGGCAACGTTTTCGATCGTCGATTCGTCGGCTACCGATTGATTTGCCTGTTCGGGGCTCCACATGCGGCCTGAGCCACACGTCACACGCTGCTCCCGCTGCGGCAGCCGTGCCCACGGCACAGGCCACGTAAGCCACGCCCCCACGCACAGGACGCTGAATGTACCAGGTGTGCAGGGATGCAGTCGTGGAACAGGTGTGCGGGGGTGTGGTGGTGGAAAAGGGGTATGGAGGTGCAGTGTGGAACAGGTGTATCAGTGTGATGTGGTGGAATAGGTGTTTGGGGGTGCTGTGGTGGAACAGGTGTGCAGGGATGCAGTCGTGGAACAGGTGTGCGGGGGTGTGGTGGTGGAAAAGGGGTATGGAGGTGCAGTGTGGAACAGGTGTATGGGTGTAAAGCGAGGAACAGGTGTATGAAGGTGCAGCGAGGAACAGGTGTATTGGCGTGCAATCGTGGAATAGTTGTGTGGGGGTGCCGTTGTGGAACAGGAGTACAGGGGTGCTATGGTGGAACAGGTACGAGTTACGGTACGCACGCCGCGGACGCCACGACCACGCCGCGTATGCCACGCCCACCACACACCACACAAGCCGGACGCACGCCGCGACTTACAAGGGTTCAGAAACAGGTAAGGGAGAATACTTCCACCGCGCCAAGCTTGCTCCTGTGATGGACTACAATCTCAATAGAAACTAGTAGACCATCAATGGAGCCTTTTTTTTATCCGATTAATCGAACTTAATAAATCGGCCAACTAATCGATTATGAAAATAATAGCTAGTCTGGTGACCCCCACCTGTGACAAAGGGTAAGAGATGTCAAGAGACATGTCCTCTTCCTGGACCACTAAACTGTAAGCAGCCCCTTTTTTTATTTTTTCTCCTCAGGTAATACCAAGGCAGACAGAGGAAGGTCAGAGGGGGCTTCTATAGGAAAGGGGCTCTGCTTGCACCCCTATAGTTTGAGGATTCCAGTAGGCCATTTCCCCCGAAATCATCACGTTTCTGAACAGCAGCTTCCAAGTCTCTCAGCTCAGCTTCCCTAAACTTCCCTAAACTTCCTGTCCAGTACAAGATCACAAGGGACACAGCAGACTCCAGCAACTGTTCATCTACTAGCTTGGAGAAAGGAGGAGGGAGCCAGGTGGGGGGTAGCTTGATTTGCTGAGTCTGTGTGTTTGTGGAGAAACACACAGCTTACTAGCACACACAAGGGTGACTGCATAGAACTCTGCTTGAGAAAGGAAAGGAGTCACTCTAAAACCGGAAGTCAGGCCCAGTGCTCAGGGGACCAGCTAATTCCGCAGTAAACTAAAAAATATAAACATCAAGGAGCAGCATTCATTGTAAGTGATTTCATCAGCATTTGAAATACCGTCAAATCCATTGACTTTAATATCGCTTTTAAAGACTGCACACATTTGGTTTTAATGCAGATATATATTAAGCTGATTTAAGGTGAAAGTTCAATTGGGGTCTAACAATTCTTGTTTTTAAACACTCAATAAATGAAAGCTCTTTCAAAGAGAGAAATGTTCATCACCATGGATTTTATTTATTGCAGTCTTACCTTCTAAACATTGTCCTTTAAAGTAAACTTTCTGTTCTAGTCTGAAATTCTCCATCTCTTCTTCAGATGCAAAATTGATCTCTCTGGACACAGATTTACACTTCAAGATTTTCTTGGGAACACGAGCTAAAGAAAAGAAACATGACAAAAACAGAGGTGCATCAATTATGTCTTAAAGATGTGGGAACGAGAAAGCAGGCTGCATAATATTCCATTTAGAATACTCTCGCAAAATTGTTAAGATGGATGAACCAGGCCTACATATCCAACACAATTCAAATCAATGATTACTACATGGCAAATTGGGGAAAAAACGACACACACACACACACACACACACACACACACACACACACACCTCCACCCCATTTATGCAATCATTTTATATTGCCACTCTAAAGAGCCCCTGTTGCCAGACCATTCATTTCTGTGAAAATCTTCCCATACGATTACATGTGCATTTAACACGGGAGGGGCCCTACTGTGCACATAGCTGTAAAAGCCAGCCCCAGCAAGGGACAGTGTATAGTATTCCTCTTCACTCCTCCTCTTCAGCTACATAAAAGGTTATGTAGGGAGGTGAGGGTGGGGTGAAGGATCTGGGTCAGCACAAAGAGCAATTAGACATTCCCAGAAGAGAAGTCAGCTATGACATGTAGAAGGCACGAGGCTGTGCTAGAGAATTCACTATTCTGGAGTAGAAACATTCTAACAAATTTCCGGGCTATTAACTGCAATTTTGTAAGTTGGTGGCAGGACCACTTTAATGTTTGTTGGGGCTAATTAAAGGGACTGTCACTAAAATAAATGGTTTTTGCACACATGACATTTAATACTCACCTCACCCCCTGCTGATGTAGTGACGCAAATCCGCCATCTGAAAAATCTGGCACTTTCAGTCGTGTTGGATTCCTGGTTTCTCGTAAGCCCCTACCTCGCTGCAGGACACAGGAAGACTTGTAGCTAACTACTACACTGCAAGGGGCAGCTCAGGAGGGGCCCTACTGTGCACATGGCCTGTTCCTTGTATTGGGGGGATTCAATCTAAGAGTATTCACCTTTGCCATTTTGAAATCAGCTTTTTTTTTGGCTTCTAGCCAGACGACTAAAAACTAGAAAACAGCAGCAATAATATTAGAGAGCTCAGGCAGCCCCGTCTGTACAGCTTAAAGTAGAGCTACATCCAGAAGCAAAAATGTCATATTTTTCTTGTGTAAACTACGAATCCCATAAAACTACGGATAAGAAAAAAAGGCAGACATGTTTGAAGTCCAGCCTGTGAGACAACTATAGCTGCCTCCAGAGATTCAGTGGAGAATTTTACTTCTCCACAAAAGGGACAGGAAGTGTGCTATTCCCAGGAGAAAATAAAAGGGAAACAAAACCAGACAAAAACAAATGCAGCACATGTAAGGACAGATAAGCTGCAATATATGACATTTTTGTTTTTTGATGAACTGTCCAAAAGCCCTGACATCCTTTGATGTGAGAAATGAAGGAGCCAGGCAGAAACTTCTCGTTTACATGCCTTCATATGCGTTTAGCTGTGTAAAACCAGGCTAAAAATGGTCCCAGGACACAAAATTCTTCTTTGTGTAAACACAGTTAGACGGAATGCACCCAGACACTGCTGAACATCTAGGGGTGCATTCAGCCATAGCAAAGCATTACATGCTTGCAGGTGCATTTGGAAACGAGCTCCAAAATGCATATGGATGCATGTATTTGAATTCCCTCATGCATGGGTCTTTGCAGCCTTAGCTAAAACTTGTGGGATTGCTCAGAAACTGTATCCACAATGTAGGGCATGGCCGAGTCCAGTCACACTGTAGACAGGCTGCATGGAGGACAGTCCCCCTTCTTAACATTTTAAGAGGCTCTGACATACTCTGGAAGAGAAAAAAGCAAATGAGAGAGCTATTGCAGTTTTGCAAGAATGGCCATAGTTTCCGCCAATATGTAGCAGAGCATTAAAGGAGAACTATGGGGTTAAGGCTTTTCCCCATAGTTCTCCCAAGGGTCATGGGAGGACACAAACTAGCCTTCTCCCGTCACCCAAAGCTCAGTATACCGCGAGCTACAGCTTGCGGTATACCGAGACGCCGCAGCCGGAACGGATCCCGACATTGCTGTCGAGATCCACCCAGCTGCGAGATTCACAGCTGGCTCTGCCTATCCAGAGGCAGAGCCAGCTGTGCCCGCCCCGTCCGTTCCACCAGTCAGCGCTGGAGGATCGGAGAGGGGGGAAACCCTGCAGGGAGCCGTGGGTGACAGTCACGACTCTCTGCAGGGATGGATCGAGAAGTGAGCGAGCGACACTAAGTGTTCGCTCACTTCCCGATCTACTGAGCCGACCTGTGACAGTTTCATTGTCACAGGTCGGCTCAGATTATGAGGTGAGTGAAAATCACTCGCCTCATAATTCTCCTTTAAGCTGTCTATACACCATAGGACGCAGGGAGGTCCGGTGCGCCTTATGGAGCACTCGACAGACCATAGCTTCTGTCAGAGCTTCTGTGACAGAAGCTCTGACAGAAGCTGCAGTTAGTGACCGCTGAGACAGGTGGCGCTGTGATTACAGCGCCACGGTCTCAGTGATCACACAGAGCAAACGAAGAACGTCCGTTCTTTGTCTGCTCTATGGTGATCTCGATCACCGCCGCCGTCGCTCGGTTTTAATACAAGTGATTTAATCAGATCATTGTAATTAAACGAGCAGTGGCTCCTACTGTACATTTAGCTCTGCTTTAGCAGGGCTAAAATGTACAAAGAACTACTCGCCCGGCGTCTGTAACTGCATGTCTCGGGCGTCGGGATTCGCTCCATAAGACGCAGGCACATTTTCCCCCCTCCTTTTGGGGGGGGGGGGAAAAAAGTGCGTCTTATGGAGCAAAAAATACGGTACATTTAAATGCGGAGAGTAAGCGCACTGCCGCTTTGAAATGTGGTCGCTGTCACCCAATCATTAACTTGCACGGGCGGCAGATTTGGGACTCCTGCTGCAGGAATTTGCAAGTTCCTGCCACAGGAATCCCTAAACGCACCTACATTTTAGGTGTGAATGAAGCCTAATTTCTCAAAACTGGAGCAGACAGAATATGGAGCATTTGCTCATAGTAACCAATCAGCTTCTTTTCACTTTGTTCAGCTTTGAGCATGAAATGTAGAAGCTGGACCAACAAAATAAAAGTAAATATTTTTGAATGGAGCACAATTCAAGAACATGTTCAAGCACAAGGCTGGCAATACATACAATGTTACAGATGTTTAATGATCTTGCTGCCCTGAGACAGGGTTACAATTTAAGATAAGTCTGACAGAGGTACAGTACCTTCATGCTCAACACCCGGAAAAGAAAGGTCTTCTGCTCCTTGCCACATGGTTTTCCCTGTTTCACCATCTCGAAGAATCATTGAATTTCTATTAGATTAAGGAAAACAACCTTCTGTTTCCTGAATTACACACAAACATTACAGTTTCCAAATGAAATAAAAGCCAAAATTAAAAAAGAGATCTAAAGTCACAGCATACACTTGTGTTAGAACATCAGCATTGTAATAGCAATATGAATAGTAGTTATTTTTGACAATCCAATATGAACTTATTAGAAAAATATTCTTTTATGTAGTAAATGCTCCTGATCTGCTGGTTATCTCTTTCAACAACTTCCTTGATTACCTGGTTGCTTTGCAGCTTCTCCTCTGCCTATTTCTTTGGATTACTTTCAATTTCTAAGGACTACATATCCCATGGAACATTGCTGCTGGCAAGGAATGATGATTTACCTCCTGAAACACCTGTATAGCTGAGACGGCAGGCCCTGTGAAATGGGTGACACAGCACTGCATATATACACAAGGTATAGCGAATGTGTGTCACTGCATTTAAGGAAGTCAATGTGTGGGATTCTTGAAAAGTAACTTCTGTAATCTGAAGAGGAGAGATAATATCACATCCCCACTCCTCCATTCACAGAATGCCTTGTATTCTTTCAAAAGGCATACAAGGTGTTTTGTGAATGGGCAAGTAATAAGGAGGACTGGGTAATGTGACCAGAGCACTACTGCTGCTTGAGTCCCATCTTTCGCTCCCCGCAGTGCCTGGAAGCCCAACGTAATGTGTTAGAGACAGCATGCTTTAGGGCTAGTTCACACCAAGCACGTTCCAGGTGCAGAGCAGAGCAGTTACAGACCGGATAAAAACTGCGTCCAATGTATTCCAATGGTATTTTGGGCTCTAGTTCACACCGCAGCGTTCAGTTCCAGAGCATGTAAAAAAAAACTGCAGCAAGCCCTATTTTACCTGGAACGCATGCAAATGCATCAAAAAACACATGCAAACGCACTGGAGCCCCATTTTAAACGTTTAAAAAAAAAACAAACACACTGCACTGCGTGTGCAGATACTCATGCAGATCTGGTCTGCATTTGGTGTGAACAAGCCCTTAAGGTAAGATTTTCATACTTTGCAGCAGTCCTTCACACACAAAAACACAGCTTTTTATGATAATTTACACATCTAGTGCAGAGTGTAAAATGATGTTTTTCCTGGAGTTTGGCTTTAAGTAACTGTTACATTAACATTTGTGTTCCAAATGAGTCTGTCATAGGGGATAAGTGTGTGTGTGTATATATATATATATATATGTCAAAAAAGACAAAAACGCAGATGGATTGCAGAGGCATCTGAGTCACTTTGGCACCCTGATGAAGGGGGCGTGACCCCGGAAACACGTCATCACAGGCATTCCTTGCTGGCACACAGGAAGGTCTGTGCAGCTGTCACTTGCTTACATCTTGATCCATGTATTGTCATACAAAGCTCTATTCCTTTTCATCCTTGTATTATTCTCATCAATTGTTTTTAATCTTAATAAACCTGTCTGCACTAGGAAAGGCGCCCCATGTTTGTGTTTTCTTCCAAGATCTTGCAGTCTCCCTGGCTGGAGGGGGGGGGGCAGGAACCCCAAGAACCCCAAATCCACAACCTCAAAAAAGTAGATTATCTTTTTGTTTATATATATTTCTACTGTCATTTTGGCACCCACCCGACTAAGGGTTTTATTCGGTCAGAAGTGCGATGGGTACACTGGATTTTTGTTATAAGGGAATAGGGAACAAACCATCCTAGGACCAATTTATGTATTACAGATATTTATAGAGCGCCGACAATTTACGCAACGCTTTACATAGTTGCACATTCACATCCGTCCCTGCCCTCAAGGAGCTTTACAATCTAAGGTATCCATCTCACAAGCATACATACTAAGCCAATTAACCTACCAGCATGTCTTTGGAGTGTGGGAGGAAACTGGAGTAACCAAAGGAAACCCACACAAGCACAGGGGGAACATGCAAACTCCTTGCAGATAGTGATATGGCCAGGATTTAAACCAAGGACCCCCAGTGCGGCAAGGCAGCCTCGCTAACCACTATGCCACTGTGCTGCCTACCAATGACAGTGACTGGGGAAAAAATACTGGAGGAAAGAACTTGGAAGGATCAGCCATAGGCACCTGCTGCTACCCAAAGATATAATAAATTGTTATATCTATGGGGGTATCTTTACACAAAAACGATCTAAAAACAGATACAGTATGAATCTATAAAAGTTACCCATCTCTCTACAGACATTGAAAAGCTGCGATCACTTACTTACATGACTTACTGTATGTTTTAATGAGAAACATTATAAGTGCTTTGCTGATCATTTCATGAGTTGCCTCTATGGACATATGTTTCCTATAGAGAGAACACATTTGTAAAGAAGAAGTGTAGGCCTCAGCCATGTACTCAGTAATATTCAGTTTGGAGCCGAGCACAGGCCTTAACAGCATGACTGAGGCGTTAGCTCTTAATGGGATTAAACAGCTTAAGATCTGTTCATCCCCACTAGGGGCAGAGGGTCACTATAATTAGAAGCCCCAGACTATGTATTCTGGAGGAGACAGAGGCTACAAAGAAAGTTGTAGTGAATTATAATAAGAACGAGCCTTCCATGTTTAATTTGATAAACAAATCTTTACAACATTCATTCAAGTAAAAGACTAAGCTTTCTTCACATCACAGCACAGGCAGCCTTCTGGAATGCATTTATAATTATATAATTAAAAAAACAACTTGAAAAATGATGGCTAAAGGCTCCTGTATGAGAGTCTGAACAAGGACCAAATTCATTTACTATGTTACCCACAAGCCTCAGAGTAAGAAGAAAAACTTCCTTTACCCTCCCTGATTGAGCCAAATCCTCCTTCATTTGTGTCTCACACACGCCTCCTCCCAGACACTTCAGATCGCAGTGGGAGGCAGTGGCGTCAATCCAGAAATAAGTGGGCGGGGATAGGTGTGGGCGGGGGCTGAATGACAAGCTATAGGCTTGTGAATCAACAGTGACAATGGTGATTTTTATGCCCCCTGCAACGTCCTCTCATCCCATTGTAGTGCAGGAAGGTACAGCCGACATGAGAGTGGCAACTCTGCTCTGAACTCTGGAGCAGTGCAGCATTGTTGCCACACCATCACAGGAAGCTGCATGAAGTGAACTTCCCTGGCAGGATCAATGGGTATTTGTGGAACTTTGCAGGGGGGCTAAGAGAAAAACACCTTAAATAAATATAAAACAAGTTAAATTATAGCCGATCAATCCCAGCAAATATAAATAGATAAAAACAAGAAATTCGTAATAGCAGCACATAGCTCCATTAGCAAAAAAGTGTAAACATAGAAAGAGATGAAACTAAAAACGTTGCAATAATATTTTATAAATATAATCAAGTGCTGCAGCCCATACTTTTTTTTAATGGGAGGACACTCCTATTATATATTAATAGAATTTGTGGGCAGATAAACATTGCGGCATAGAAAAAAAAAAAGTGGTACATCTAGGGCCAAGTCAGACTGGCCCTACATGACTTTTTTCTCTATTTATAGTTATTTTCTATAAAAATTGATAATATGCTAATTTTACAGCGACCTGTAGCTCAGTGGCTGACTTTCTGCTCAGCGTTTTATGTAGGCAACAAGCTTGCGCACAACATTGGCTCTGCATTTACCTCGATGGTTTAGTTACAGATCCTGAAAGAGGATCATTTGTAGCAGCAAACAATAACGAAAATGTTTGATCTGTAGCTGAAAAAAAAACAAAAAAACCCTTGCTTCTTTGGGACAAATTTCCATAGACTATAATATTACAGAATACTATAGTCATAGACTATTATAGCTCTGGTGATTTGTAATTGCAAGGAATTTCTGCTACAAAGTTGCCCAACTGACATAGAGACTTCGATATTTAGAGGGTGCCATTTACAGGCCAACAAGTTGAATGAAAAAACCTGTCTGACTTGTTGTCCGATTCTGGCCGGAACGCACTGTCATCGCATTGCGGCCGGCTCACTTTTTTTGTGGGGCAGGAGGGGGCGTGGCGGGCCATTGAAGTGAATGGCACCGTAGCCACAGCCTCAGGCCGCAATGCGATCGCCCGCACAGGATCGCAAATCACATTGTGTCTGCGGTCCGATCAAAATAGTGCTTGCAGCATTTTGATCGGACCGCAGACACAATGTGATTTGCGATCCTGTGCGGGCGATCGCATTGCGGCCTGAGGCTGTGGCTACGGTGCCATTCACTTCAATGGCCCGCCACGCCCCCTCCTGCCCCGCAAAAAAGTGAGCCGGCCGCAATGCGATGACCAGAATCGGACTGGAACGCACTGCATCTGGTGTGAACCTAGCCTTAGGCCTCTTTCATACAGCACTTCAATTGGGTCTGCCTGTCAGTTTTTTCAGGAAGACCTGAACCGAATTTTCAAAGCTAGCGGCAGTCAGATGTAGGCAGACATGCGTTCCATTTTGGTGGACGAATCAGATGTAAACAGACACATGTCCACTTGCATCTGACTACCTACAGACCTAAATTGGGTCCAGTTTCCTCCAGTGCAGGATGGAGGAAAAAACTGAACGGATATGTCGCAAAATTGCCACTCATTCCATCCTGCTCCCATCAGCAAGGGATCTGGCAGTATTGGGCCCCTTTCACATGGACAGCGTCTGTTCTCATTAGAAGGAGATTCGTGAACAGATCCCTTGCTGATTGGAGCAGTAAACTCAAAAATCTTTTCCAGTATGTAAGCAAGGTAGCCCTTGCACACACTCTGTCAGTAAACTCCTCCAGTTATGATTAAAGGAGAACTATGGGGTTAAGGCTTTTCCCCATAGCTCTCCTTAGGGTAACGGGAGGACACAAACTAGCGTCCTCCCGTCACCCTAGGCTCAGTATACCGCAAGCTATAGCTGGCAGTATACTGAGATGCCGCAGCTGAAGCAGATCCCGACAATCATGCCGGGATCCGCCCAGCTGCGTGACTGACAGCTGGCTCTGCCTATCTAGAGGCAGAGCCAGCTGTACCCGCCCCCTCCCCCGTCC